ACACTATGTTTCACAGGCTACTTGGCCGTCGATTCAAACTGTGTATTTATTAATTCGGTCTGACGAAAAGGTGTACAAATTGAAAAGGTATACAAACAATCGCTCTAACGAAGGGCTAACGCTCGAAACGTCACCTTTTTTACCCTTTACGGTGGCTAATTTACGTTTTCAACTCAGTTGTTAACACTAAATTACCTATCTATTAATTCGCTTTGACGGAAGGCTAACGCTCTAAGTGTCAGTTTCAGAAACTCTTTACGATGGCCAATTGGTATTATCAATTCAATTCATAAAATTAAATTCTCTTGTTATACCCCACCGAAGAGACACCACAGTTTCTTTGGTAACTTACGCTCTGACGAAGGCCTAACACTCGAAAAGTCGGCTTAAAAAAACTCTTTACGGAGGCCAATTAACATTAGCACTCAGTTAATAAAACTAAATTATTTTGTTCAAGAAAATATGATCACAGTTTATAGTCTCTTGTATAGTTATATCCCCAACTCACGAGACGCAACACTACAGAATTTTTTTCAGAAACTTACAGCGTTTCTGTATTGCCTATATTTGTAAAGATACTGTCAGCTACTCGAAAGACGTTTCATAATTATTCAGTTTACCCTATTTTTCTGGCCATACGTTTCTCTGTCAATTTAAACAATTTCCTAAGAAACCATAATAAACAGAATTATTTGAAATGCCGTGAAGAATTTGATTAAGACCGCCTCCCTTTACCACAAAATATCGATTTACAAATTCTAGTGATACGTGTAGTCAACTCAGTTTTTAGACCTTGTAACTAAAGATCTATTAGGATATTTGTTCGAAATTACGAAATAAATCTTTCTAACCAAGCTGTATTTTTAACGAAAACGAAAACGAAATTCAGAGAAATACTATTCGCTGAAGTATCGTATTTGTCAGAGTTTCTGTTATGGAGCTACATAGCACAGAACAACACAAAACACGGGGGCTTTTGTTTAGGAAACTTCACAAACGCACCGATGAAATTAGCTCCTACTCGAGTACAATCCGTTATTTGCTGCAAAGATTTGTTTGTCAACTACTCTGTATTTTACTGCAATGGCATTTCGGCCACTTAAAGTTGTTTACGTCGATGGCTGCATTCAATTTGGAACCTTGAAGTGGATTTTAAGATTTTAGCAACTTAATCCAGTGATTTGCACTTGATCTCTGTTACCAAGTGACATTCTCCGACAAGGGTGGAAAGTGTCGTGATACATGCGTGTCGTAATATATTTTTTTCTCAATTTTTACTGGACTGCTTGACAACCTTCTGATTAATTTTACCAAATAAGGGAAAAACCACGAAAGCTAGATGCTTTAACAGACAGGAGTGGCAAGTGATAAAATTCTCTCACCGATTCGGCTTGCCAGAAGTTGAGCGCCGATTACTTTTGAAAGAAAATCTGGAAAACTTACAATAAAGCTAATTTTAATGATAAGATATCGTTTTAATCGAGGAAGATGTTTTGAAGTGCGTTGGGAAGTGCTTATATTATGGGAAAAATATATTTACGCGAACGACAAAAACCTAAAATTTAAAAACTTAATTTTGAAAATGGTTTAACTGTTTAACCGCAACCATCGGTACAACAAAATTGCGCAAAAAAGGAGTCAAATGAATCTTCATCATTTTTACCAGTTAAGAATCTCAAAATTTTTCTCAGACCATTGGCTTAAGGAACATGACAAGATGAAGATAAAACAGAATGAAACAGTCGCTCAAATCAAATATACACGATAGTTGTCGACAGTTTTTCTTAATCTGTAAGATTATGGTGGTATAAAGAAGTGGCAATATTCACATAGATTGCCCTGTTGACTGATTTTATCCATTGGAGCCTCATGTTTCCTTCTGATAAATAATATCTCAGATAATCACTTACACTTGGCAAAAGAACAAGCGCCAAGTACTACAAGATCAATCGTTGATCAAAAAATACCACAAATAATTCTACACAGCACGTTAAATTTTACGTATTTGAGGTATTTCTATCTTTTTGTACAAATAGCAACATCGCTTCTAACCATAATGCGCCGAATAAATTACTTAATCGATAACTTCAATTACGGAGACAAATTTAACACTGCAATACACCAATTACTCAAAAGAAAACAGCTTTTTTTGTGGGAGGTGATAATGCTTAGCGAACATTGAACTCAAATGAGTGTTAGTAATATACTTACAAGATGCTTAGAACACGCCAAAAATCCGAAAAACCTTGATTCACTGTAACCGCTGAACGAGAGTCAGAAACGCAATCGACAGCAAAATCTCCACAGCTCACAAGTTTGACTATCGTTGAACAAGGTTAATTTGGACACAACTAGAAGTCGGATGTTGCGTTGCAAATAGCACTCGATCATAAATGATTGCAAAACAATCGAATTTAAAGCACCGTAGGTTGCCAGGTCAACAACACGTGGAATCTGGCGGAGGATCAACTTTCGCAATTTCGTCCGAGTGACGAGTGAATTACATTTTTCCAATAAGTGAAAGGTCATATTAATTAAGAGCCCCTGGGCTTCATGCCAAAAGTGAAGAAGATTATGGTATAAGCTAAAAAGACGTCCATGTGACAAAAACAAGGGGGGGGGATAAAAGTGAAAGTGAGGCGTGATGTCTGTTACAAAGAAATTTTATGTTCTACAGAAGAAGCAGTCGTTGTTTTTAAAAATGTTTAAATGTCATTACTTCTTGGCTGGGAGGAGGGCGCGGTTTGGAGGGTTTTGGTTCTGTTACGGTAAAATTTATCCGATCCCCCTATTAGGCGTTGTAATATTGTTACAACTCACCCCCCCCCCCCCTCTTCGGTTGACTGTCGATTTTCCATAGTCCCCCCCCGTAGTCTCCTTATATTCTGTTTATGACTACTAATCCCCCTGGTTCTCCCCCAAAAAGAGACTTTGCCATCTTTGAATGGTCTTCGCCAAGATTATGAAATCTTGCCTCCGCACAAATTGCTGAGAATTCTGGCAGATTAGATTAACA